GTTTTTGCTGGCTGTAGCAGCGCTTTAGCGCTGCTATAGCGCTGCACAGCAAAAACGCATAAAAACCATCGTCAACTTTTTCAGCAGTTGCAATGTGCTGTCAATCCGGCCTATTTGAAAAATTTATGATCGACGCATTTTTCTTTTCTAATTTATTGCTTTTCATCTGTACAGAAGCGACTGTTGCAGTTTTGGGAAGTTATATCGGATGAGCATGGAATTGATCCAACAGGAGCCTATAATGGTGATTCGGACTTACAACTGGAGCGCATCAGTGTCTATTATAATGAAGCCAGTGGTACCAATTCAAAAATTGATGAGATTTAGAGCTGAATACTGTGGAAATTTGTAATTTTTTTTTAACTAAGGTGGCAAATATGTACCACGTGCTTGTTTGGTCGATCTGGAGCCCGGTACTATGGATTCAGTTCGTTCTGGACCATTCGGACAACTTTTCAGGCCCGATAATTTTGTATTTGGTTTGTTTTCTTTCATTTACCATTTTTTTCCTTCCTATTAAAATTAATGACAAAATTTTAGTACTAAAATTATGTTTCCGTTTGGAGCAATAATGCTTTTTCTCAAAACGGCTAGCAAAAAGATCGGATTTTTAGCGAGTGCTGGCATAATGGAAAATGTGTAAAGTGTGTGAGGAATGGAAAAGTACGGATAAACTGCTTGTAAAACTCCAAGATCCCCTCGGTCAGCGTGCTTCTAGCAATTCTGGAAAAAGGGTGTCATTGGCAGCCTTACCAACGAGTGGTTGCTGCCGGCACGCGTTGTCAGTCGGGCAATTTCCCGAAGTACCTTTGCCTCCCACAGAACGCAGATAAGGGGGGGTTTTGATTTTATATAAATGAGGTTCAACTGAAGTGCTGTTACAGGACAGAGCGGAGCAGGAAATTGCTGGGCGAAAGGGCATTACACGGAAGGTGCTGAGCTAATGGACAATGTTCTAGATGTTGTGCGTAAGGAAGCCGAAAACTGTGACTGCCTTCAGGTAAACGGATCAAAATCAACCAAAGCGCCAAATTAACATTTTTGGAGGCCGTTTCTGTTAGAGTAACTTATATTTTCTAGGGGTTTCAAATGACACATTCGCTCGGTGGCGGCACCGGATCTGGAATGGGAACTTTATTGATCGCCAAAATCAGAGAAGAATATCCGGATCGAATCGTAAATACATTTTCAGTCGTTCCATCTCCAAAGGTTTCTTTCGCTTCCTTTTTTGCAGGTATTCTGATAAGACAAGTTTTGCAGTTACAAATCTATTTCGCATAAGCATCTAGAGTTTACTGCATTATTAATAGGAATATGAATTATGATAGACAAAACACAAAAGGCATATTAAACCCCAGGATGCAGCACACCAGGTTTGTTGCTGCAGTCGCGCGTTTTTCGTCGAAAACAGCATGTCAGAGAAGGGGGACGAAGTATAAATGCCAAACAATCAGGCTACACAAAAACATTTTGAAGAGACATTGGTGCCATGCCGCTTTTGCGCAGATCAAGAATTACGGTTATTATTTGGTCCCAAAAGCACGACCAACTCAGAAATTGAAATAATTACTGATATTGCTAGCTTTTTTACTGGATCAGTTTCCGGAAATATTATCAAAAGCAGAGTTTCTTTGCTGACCAGGTCATTTGTATAGTCAGTAGCCAAAGAATGCCCTCCTGGATTTGATAAAAGCAGGTTAAAGGTTATCAGGGTGGAGCTTCAGCTTCGCTAGTGAATTATGTGGCACAGCACACCATTTTCTGTACCTAATTGTTTTCTGAAGATGTCAGCGCTGTGCTGGAATCTGAGATATTCTTGAACTTTTTTTGAACCTTAAATGCGAAAATAAAGTTGCATCCAAAACGAACGACTAAGTTTCAGGTTTCTGATACTGTGGTTGAACCGTACAACGCAACTTTATCAGTTCATCAGCTGGTTGAAAATACAGACGAAACATTTTGCATCGATAATGAGGCATTATACGACATTTGTTTCCGGTGTTTCTTTTTTTTTTGAATCTCAGGGAAATTAAGATTTTCTTCACCACCAATAATTAAATACAAATGAAAGTAAGACAAAAGGAACACACATACACAGAAGTAGAAACATGAATAAGGAGAGGAAGAAATCATTTATGCAAATATTTATATTTATGATAGTATCAGCTGGTATAAGAGCGTGCCGAACCATTACGTTGCATACGTCTTACCTCAGCACTGCAGCTGGAGCCCATTAGTACAACGGTTGCGGCACAAATTTATATCTTTTCGTAAAATGATATAATAAATTCCAAGCCGGAGTTGTCAATCACGTATTCAACGCAGTTTTTGTAAAGTTTACTTTTGTCAGCGTTTTTTGACTTTTTTAACAGCATGCAATTTTCCAAACACAAATTGTAGGACCCTGAAATTAACAACACCAACGTACGGAGATCTCAATCATCTGGTATCATTGACAATGTCCGGTGTAACAACTTGTCTTCGATTTCCTGGCCAGGTTTTTTTTCAAAGTTTTTTGCCCAAATCTCCTGAAATGTCATTGTGCGTAGCTTTTATGATAATGGTGAAAAGCATCTACGCAGTTTATAGCTCTTCTAGAGCTTCTTTTGAGCTGCAGTTTGAATTGCCGTCTTCAGCAACTGCAATTACCAATTCTCAGGATGATCATTGATCTTTTCTTAAGTACAGTACGACTATTGTCACTTTCGACTACAACATAGTTATAAAACCAAGAACCCTATACCCTAGTTCATACTCCAGCAATACTAACGCTCATATCTAGTGTTCAGGCCCAGTTTTTCATTAATGCAATTTGGGTAAGTCCCGACTGTTTTTGTATCCCTCTTAGCTAATTTTTTTTTTATCTCTCCTGGTAGAGTTTACACATCTTTACCAAATTTTTATTTGCAAGTGAGCAATTTCAGCACAATCTTAGGTGTAAAAAGATTTCATTTTGTTCAAAGCATTTTAATTTTTAGCGGATTGTTTGATGTTGACGCCTGCTGCCTCAATGGATATTTCGAGTGCCTTCGTCTCTCACAGAGTGTGAATGCGAAGGGGGTTTTGATTTTTTAAAATATACTATTTTAGTTCTCCAATTAAACTAAACAGACAATGCGTTTCAGCTGAATGCAGACTTGCGAAAGCTAGCAGTAAATATGGTACCATTTCCACGCTTGCACTTTTTTATGCCTGGTTTCGCGCCACTCACGTCACGTGGTAGCCAGCAGTATCGATCGTCAACGGTGTCTGAATTAACGCAGCAAATGTTTGATGCCAAAAATATGATGGCTGCTTGTGATCCACGACATGGCCGATACCTTACCGTAGCGGCCATCTTTCGTGGAAGGATGTCAATGAAGGTTAACTTTTTTGTTCCGTAATAAAGAACAGTCGACTAATGCTGTACAGACTTTATGTTTTGTTCTTTGAAAGCTAAGGTAGGATTACAAGAAAGTATGCGGTAAAAAAATAAGTAAAAAGTTTATTGACTAGTGCCCAGACAATGCTAAACGAACAATGAAAGAGCACTTGCTGATTGAGGTCTCCTTTTGCAAAGGTTATGAGCCGAAAATGTAACGGATAACACGTCACGATTCGAAGAAGACGGAGATACTGTAAATTAGAGGTTCGACTTTCTTCAGGACCTTATCCTTTGCAAAACTGGTTTCGTTCGCAGATTTAGCGGGCTGGAATTATCCATTCGAGCACTTACGGTGGAGTTATATGTAGGCGAACAGATTGGAAAAGTTGCCAGTTGCATCGATGGGCGATAAGGAAAAGATGAAAGAACTGCTATTTAAGCCACCAAACTAACTGCGATATGATTTTCTTAGAAATGATTAGTCCCGTGGTTGCTTCAGGAAGTTGACGAACAGATGCTTAATGTGC